TAGTGGATAGTTACGCTGACTAGTGGCTTGTGGATACTAATCACTAGTAAGCTATTCACTAATGTTTAGCGGATAAAGACCCCAGAGATGCTAGCGAATATTGATGCCGTACAACTAGTGGATAGTGACGCGACTGCCGTTACGATGAGTTCGGGGACAAATCACGGAGAAAGCATGCTTGTTAAGCGTATAATATGTATGCGACATGGGGGCACTCAAAATACAAGGCCAGCCGAAGGTTCTCTCGAGAGGTTGGTGGTAGGAGAAAAAGAGTGGACCACCTCTGAGAAAAGAAGTGGCTATCTCGGTGTGGTCCAAGGAGCCACTCCCGAGGTGTTCTCGCTCAAAATTGGGGTAGCACTTTAACAGTCAGCTAATTTCAGCAATACAGCAATCACATGTGGTACTGAAGTGCTGATCTGACTTCTACGTGTACCTATAATATTTGGTTTAATCGTAGTCGAATATATTTATTGCACGAAGGATGTTATTTTACAGCTTAGTTTTGACGAAATACATTTGAAAACGCGATGAATATTTACAAAAAGGATCTTCGAAGTATTTCTTTTTTTATATCTTTCTTTCATAACAAGCTTTCTTCTGTTTACGAACTCCCCGTTTCTTTCTAATACATTTCCTTCAGACGAAAGCTGATCAAAGATGTATCTCACCTTTAGGCGATCTATTTTATCGATCGAACGAAAGAAAGAAACAAACAATTAGAGACATGTCACGCCAACTCGCATAACATTTCCAAATATTTTAACCTTCATACATCCCGAATACATAAATTTCATGATATAATCTACTTAAAATCCTATCAGAATAAATAATTATATCTTAATATTATCCACTTTAATAAATAATAACATCTTTTCAGCACTAAATTTTGCATAAAAGGTGTTTTATGCAAATAAAAATTATTTTGGAAGAAACTTGTAAAGAAGACCTTTTCAGCGTTGTAATTTAATTACAGTTGCATTACTTCCTACTTCTTAACCTTTACAGATAAAAAAGAAGTGTCTAACTTTAAAATATTTTTCTCATTTAGATTTTCTTGTATTAGATCATTTGTTAGTACAGAAATTTCTTCTCAGACTTTTTCACTTAATGTTATAATAAGAAAGAGCACGAAATATTCATGCTTCGCTATTAAAAAGGATAAAATAATTACTGTTTTATTCATATAAGGAAAGGAGCGATACCACATTTTAACTCATTTACTAAAAACAGATGTTTTTACAGAAAATATGTTATTGAAAGCAATTACAAAGGAACCCGTTTAAAAAATTAGCCCGCATAATCAAAAGTATACTGCATTAGATTGTTAATCAATAACAGACAATTTTAAAGATATAAGCAATAATAAAATTCCATAGTCAAACTAGTAACTGTATGTTCTTTTCATTTTTTAATGGCGACGGTCTCTTATTTGAAAGAAGCGGTCGAGAGGTAAAGTCGCTGAACACTGGTAGTTCGGTCCGAGGTTCGAATCCCGCGAACGGGCTGGCTGCATGGGCGTTTTCGAGGTTTTCCCATGTGTAAACGTGTATACGAGCCAGTATCCCTTAGAAAGTCCTCCACGAAGGCATCCCTCCTCTTAGGCAGATAGCCCTAGTGTGCTTTGCCATGATTAAATACACCAATACTTATTTGAAAGTACGTGGAATTAAATGCACAGCCCCGTAGTCAAGTTGTTTTTTTTTTCCGCCTTTTCTACACGTACAGTTATAGAATGTTCTGGAAGTATTTTAAAGCGAACTGGATTGGCTGACGAGGCTGACGTCATTTCTTGGAAGCTCCGCCTTTCCAGAGGTATAAAAAGACTCGCAAAAGGAATATCGGGGCTTTTTCTTAAATTTCACGATGCAGTAAATTATACAAAAAGTTATTAGTAATTCTTTTATTACTCCGGATATCTGATTTTTTGTAACTGCTATTTCTCCTGATAATAATAAATGGATCTTGCTTTTTAAAACTATCGTCTGATTATTTAAGCTACGACTAAAGCTGATACATCATATATATATATATATATATATTATATTTATTTTTTCCGAATGCAACAGTCTCGAATGAAAGTGAAACAAGGCATTGACAGTGGATGACATTTAAAGAGAATCTATGCAAAATCGTGTTTCGAGACTTATGACCATTTGGGGACTGATAATTATTAAAATGAAAATTATTATATAAATTTGTGAAATTTCGCTGAATGATGAGAAAAATAATGAAACAATTAAATGAAAAATCTGACTTATTCGCTCAAGGGAAGGGGTTAAACTATAAAAGGAAGGGGAAGGTATATTATTTTAAATGCTGTTCCGAAATTGAGACGGCGGTAATGAACAAGAAGAGAAAGTTTCACAGCGGTGCTTCAGCATATATATCCAAGACAGGTATTTTTATGAGGTCCTGCGTTTATGAGATTTTTTTAGCTAGGAAATTTTATAGTTTAAAATAATGAAATTTTATAGTTTTATAGTTTAAAAAAATGAAAGTACTTTCTTATTATTAATTTTGGAGAGTTAGAAGAATTAAAAACAAGGTGCGATTTTGCAAAATCATACTCCGAAACCTTTACGCTAAAATCCTCATCTTGCATAAAGATGCCAAAATCGAGGGTAGATGTATAAAGGAAGTTGCTTTTGTGTGCTTTACTTCATTCATTCCAACTGCCTTATGAATATACGACATGACTCAGGATTTCAAGCGCCATTTTATTTATTTTTTAAATGTGCACTTTAAGACATAAGGCTTCCCAGAATGTATATTTGGGCTAAATTTTATTCTAAGAGAGCAAGCAAACACGTAAAATTTCGCGCAGCTTATATCTTCATAATAAATAATTAAATAAATTAACAAAAGAGTAATAGTATTGTAAAGAGGAACAGAAAAAAAATAATACTGTAATTTAAACTGCGGAAAACAGAATTTACGTGATAAAAAAAAACTACATTATGAATTTTGCCTGGAATTTTGAAACACTTATTATTTTTTAAACTGATTGAATTCGACTGCTTTATTATTTATTTTTATTTATTTATTTATTTTTGGTGGGAGTTAAAACTTCCTCCGAACAGTTCCAGTCTCACAAAATAGATATATCGTTTTAGTATTTCTTAACTTACAACCTAATTATTTCAGCTTGTTTACAGGACTTTCGGCTTATTAAAATATAGCAATAAATATCACGAAACGTTTTAGTTATAAATTTTATATCACGAAACGTTTTAGTTATAAATTTTGTGTAATAATTTCAAAAGTATTGATTACTTGTTAAAGCAATTATCCAATGAAATATGCCTACTTGATATTCATCTTTTCTGGAATAGTTCGAACTTCATAGAGTAAACATACACCTAATAAAGATTTTTTAACTACTATGTTTTATCAACCATTTATAGTACTTATTTATCTTTAGACAGGTGAAAACGAGCTAGTTTTCTTTAAAAAGCTCTCCATGAAGGCATCCCTGCCCATAGGCTTGTGTTCTTTGAAATATTCCAATAACCATCTACGTTATGGCAGACCACCAACAATATCTTCAATTATTTTAAGAAAAAAGAAAGAAAAGGACATAAAAGTATCTAAAACAGCTTAGATTTTAATGGTCGAACAAGAGAGCTGTTTTAGAGTTTAATAGCGCAGTTTGAAAGATAAATATCAGTACATATGGCCCAGGTGGAACAGTGGAACATTTTACAGGATATTAAATTAATATACATTTTTACATACATATAGAAATGTTCTGCTATCTTCTACACATTTGAAAAGAGAAAAAAATGGATAACATCATTCTCTAAAAATACTGAATGTATTTAATAAGCTATATCATGAATTAAATTAAATTTTCGTTTAAATCACTCTGATTTTTTTAATGATATCCTAAACAAATGCGTCTGTTCTTTTCAAAAGCTCAGTTTGTATTTCAGTAACACACAGATATAGTTTGCAAGATAAATAGCTTGCATTTTGCCGAATGCCAACAGACTCGAATGAGAAGTGAAAAAGTGTATATTTACTGTGAATCAATGCAAAATCGAGGTTTATAGACTGTGCACTGTAAATCAATCAAGTTTTAAATAAAATGATATCCTTAAGAACTGCGTCCATTCCTTTCAAAAGCTTAGTTTATAATTCAATAACACACAGATTGAGTTTGAAGGATAAATACCTTGCATTTTGCCGAATGCCAACAGACTCGAATGAAAAGTGAAATAATGTATATTTACTTTCAATCAATGCAAAATCGTGTTTTGAGACTTGTGCTCTTTATTTGTGAAACTGAATTAATCCGTCCTCGATGAACAGAACACTCGGCGTCACTTAAAGCATTAGATTATTTTACGTTATCAGCTCCCCGAAAGAAATTAATAATAATAGTAATTTAGGCATGTTATGAATTATTTTAACATGTGCTTGCTCATGGCTTTAAAATGTACTATATTAAAAAAGACTGGAATAGATAATTAAAAGAGAAAACAGTTAACGTAAAAATTAAAATTATATTAAAAAGAATTAGACTGTCATAAATTTCTTAAAACAGTTTCTCAATTTCGAGTGTTATCAGACATAAGATGGTCTTTACCTGGATGATTTTTTTCTTCCGTTTAAAAACCTTTTCCAAAAGGAGCAATAATTTTGGAAGAAAAAAAAAATTATCCTCCTCCTTTTTGAAAAGAATGTCAAAACTTATACTATCGAAGATTGCTTATTTTGTCTAATTTTAAGACCAGAAGTATTTGAAAGTCATGGAACCAAAATCTTTCTTTAAAGGAATATAATCAAACATTGGGAAACATAAAAATTAATTTTGCATAGCTTTTTTACTTTAAATTTGTTAAAATACATTAAAAAATCCTGGAAACACATAAGGTGCTTAGAATTAAAAAAATTCGAGTTATCGCATTTAATCAAAAAAAATTACATAAACATACGAAATTCTGATCACTGCTACGACAAAAGAGCTAAATAAATAAACGAGAGGATAATCTTACCCATTCCGAGATAGAAGAAAATGTTGGTTTCATGACAGTAGATGACAGTCTTATCTGTCCGGATGCCGCCACGTTCCGAAACTGCTGCTGCGTGTCTGGAGGGCGGGGACACTTTGGAGATAAAAGATGCAGGGAGGGGGGTGGAAAATCATGACACGCGACCTTGCAAACGCAGGTTACGGGTAATAGTCTCGATCTCGTTAGATTCTTTTTTTTTTTTTTTTTTTTTTTTATGATTGTTATTATTGCTTTTCTTTCATTTCGTCCCAAACTCCGCTGGACTTCCCCTATCGTTCCTTGCCATCTTCCATTGTGACAACAACCCAGCACTCGCTCCGTGACAGGAAGTGGATCTGATGAAGCTGAACGATGGAGCGTTCGATCTCCACCTGAGTATGTTAATCCTAACGAATACAGTTTAGGCAGAATATCCGTATCATTCCGTATGGTGTGGTAATTGAAATCATCTCAAAACTCTTGCAGACAAGACTCTCTTATCAGTTCGGCCATTTGATTCAACTGAAATGGCTGGATAATCTCTCTGAAACACGATATTTAAACTATTAGGAAACAAAACGTATAAAATAAAAGTTAGCTTGCGAGACTTAACAGAATATTAGTTTTGTTATATAATCCCTCTTAACTACATCGTTGGAGCGTTAATAAAGAAAACATGAACAACATTTCGACATATTTAAGGCTTAAAGCTGGACTTAGCGCGGATTAATATTAACGTTTCATTAGTAATAAAACTTGCTTTCTGTTATAATGGACGATGACCTTCAGAAAATAATTAAGAAAAATTCGCAAATGTTTATTAGCACAGTTTTAATGAAAAGCTAGAAAATAGGAAGAATACTATAGAGTCATCCCGTTAATAGTGCGGGTTTCTCCAGTTGTATGAAATTCGGAAAAGGACGAGATTATCTATCTGCATCAACTTGCTATAAAAGCAAGTAGTAATTTTACCCTGTTCTCATTCTTAATGCATGTTTTGAAGCGTGAAGTTCGATTTTAACAGTTATTTTTTCAAAGCCTTAATGGAAGTGACAAAGGAGCATTTTCGTTATAATTTCCTTTACAAGTTCAATTAAATAATAATAATAATAATGTGCATGATGGCTGGACAATAAGCATTACCCAATGTAAACTGTAGTTCGAGAAATTCTGAGATTAATCTAATAGTCTGAACCTTCGAGCCACTGGTTCGAGCGCTATTTATAGAATTATTTAGAATGTCTTTGTAATGTAAAAGGTCATAAAATCAACTATGGCTTGCCAAGATTCAAACTCCGGGTCTCGATTGCTAATCGAATCACATCACAAAAGCAGCGGTGAGTAGGCAGAAAAACTAAAGAAAGTAAAACTAAAACAAATATACATTATGAATTTTTCATCCAGATCTAGTACCTTTGTCTTACATAAGTTAATTCGAAATAATTTAACTAGCTTTCCCTTTGTATGTGAGGATTCCTCGAAATCACTAGAATTAGCCGATAATCTTATGCACTTTAAGTTTACCTTCCCCCCCCCAGGCATAATTTTTATGTTTTTACACAGGCCTATTTCTTTTCCTATGAAATATTATCTATTCATATGAATTATTCTCCACTGTTTTGGAGCTGTATCAAAAACTTCAAGTAAACTACAATCAATATCGCTTCAATAAAATCATTCTCACCCCCCACCAGATGTTTTCAGTTTGCTGCGTCTGACTAGATCACGTTTCACTCGCTAGATGAAATCTCCATACTTATCTCAGAATCCTAGGGTTTCTAATTCCTCAGTGAACGGCATTTACATAAATAATATCTCCAAATATCCGTACCCATAAATACCCAATATCTAATAAATAATGCGACCGAAATTCTGATAACTAACTGGATATAAAAATCTGATGTAGACACCACATGACTTCTTTGTAAGTCTATCAAATTGTATCCATTTACCTCTGCACTTCATTTAAATTATTCCATTTGAAAGTGAGATACAATCCTCTAATTCTTTAACAACGTTGACACTTAATTGCTAAAATATTAGCTTTTATTAAAATCAAATATTTATACACTTATTAATTCAACAATCTTACTTGAAAGATTGGGAAGAGAGTAAAAGTCCCTTTATTACTGTTTGAATAAATATGTCTTTTATCTATGTAATACTATGTTTTTTTTAACTATTATGATGTAACCATCAACGAAAAAGAAAAACTAAACATTGGAAAGTTATTAAACTTTTAATTTACATTTGTAACAGACTTTTTACTGGGTTTAAGAAAACCCTTCGAGTAATTTGCAGTTTCGGCACTGCCGACTGCAACTAGCAAGAGAGGTGTACAACTAGATATTATAACAGTTCCAAACACAAAATTCCAAAATGGTTATTTCCGTTAAATTTTGAAACCTAAATTTTTCGCTATTACAGTACCTACTTCACTTCGTACAAGGAGATAAAAATCGGGAGTATTTGGGCAGTTTTAAGAAAATTTCAGGCTGAGTATTAATCCCATCTGTTATATACTGTAGTATGTATTATAGTATCATTAGTATAACATAATTATACTGTAATATAACATTATTTTAGCAGCTACGCGGCCAGCCTTCGTCTGACTTGAATACAATAATGAATAAATGCACCGTAAAAATGCATGAAGGGAACACCAAACGTTAAATTTAAGAACTGCACAAAATTTTACTCTGCAAAACAACTTCATTAAAAAAGTCTGAAAAGGTTCAAGAGCAATGTCGCAAAATAGTTTTAAAATCAGCATATCAATAGAGCATATCTTTAGAATTTCCGATACAAACTCTCGCGCGTTGGAGATAATTTATTTTTCTGTACAACGTTGCCACTGCTCGCTTTGAAATCCTTGAGTTTGTTAATCAAAAATTCGTTAAAGTTTTTACAAAATATGAAATTGATATAAACAAATTCCAATTTGGGCTTCCACATGCCCATATCGCAGTAGTATTACGTCATTCAAAATTCGATGGCTCTATGTACCGTTGTTTTATCACAATGCGAGAAATATACATATATTTATGCAGATTTTTCATTATTCAATTTTATCAAATATAATGCAAGACACTAACATTTAGTGGCAACAGTTTGAAATGTGAAACGGACATTTATAGTGAACAAAGGGACAAAGCCCCTTTGGACTGAAAAAAAAATCTGTTACATATAACAAAATTACAATGAAATAAGCAATATCTCTTAATACGTGTGTCTTTCGTTCGTGGTGCGCGTACGTTAATAGACCCACGGATACGAAATTTGGTATATAGATGCATCTAGACAATAGCCAGTGCACCTCGAAGAGATTTTTTCAAAATTCGAATCAGATTTTTTTTTTAATCTTTCCGATTTTATTGCCTCATTTTAAATAGTTTCATTCTTTATATATATATATATGTAATAATAAAAAGCCAAGGATGACGGAATACTGTAGATGCGTGATTAGCCCCATTTGAAGAATTTTGATGCGTAGTATTTAAAACTGGCAGTCGAGGCAGTTTAATTCCATTTTTATTTCCACTGATATTTGTGGCCACAATCACTTGGCACTCTAGTCGTGCCTTTCCACAGAAGATTTACATTTTTGATATTGTTGAGATAGAAAGCCCAGCGAAATTACATCTTAGCCAGTAGCGAGCAAAAGCTGAAGTGCGTAGTTATGAAAGATGGAAGGCACGAGAAAAGTTTTGGTTTACAAGGTCATTTCAGTTCCCAATTATTACGTCATCAGAGCTGCGCGGGCATAGAGTGATCTAGAAATGACGCAATGCAGAGAAGTTATTACGATTTTAGAATAGAGAGGAAGAATTAATGTTTTTAATTATAATTTTGATTCATATAATTTTATCTTACATATTCCCCCCTTCAAAAAGAAAAAGGCGTAGCGACAGAGAAGCCTTTTAAAGAGAAAGAGTTAAAGCACTAGCAAATAAAAAAAAAAAAAAAAAAAAAAAAACATAAATCATAAAATTTTGTCCTGTAAAGTATAATTATAAATATCAATTTTTTAAATAAAATTTTAATTTTTAGAGTCCTATTGAATTTTTCAGCATTTCAGTCCAAAAGTCTTTTGTTTGAGAGTTCACATAATCATAATTCTTCAGGGAAGGTTCTTGTTATTCCAGAAATACACAAATAAACTTTTACATAATCATTACTTATAATTAAATGTAATGCACACAAAATTATTTATGATATTAATTTTCATATTGATAAATTATATTTTAATACCATATAATAATAGGAGTAAGCTTCAGAAAATTATGGTTTCACCGTTATTCATCTTTCATTTACAATTCCTGATTTTACCAAACTGGAAGCCTCGCAATACTTCTAAACAAACATATCCATCAATAGGGCTGTCCTCTTGAGCTAACCAGTGTGTTCTCTGCACTGGTGGCCCAGGGTGCCTAGGACAGTTACTTGAAAAGGCCTCCGTTCCTTGCATTAAGGTAACTGGCCTTTGAGAACTGCACTAATACATTCCATAATAAAAAAATAATAATAATAATAATAATATAAAAAAATTACACACACTCATAAAATGAGAGCCTCCAACATTATCTTACTTGAAGAGGGTGAAGGAACAAACTGTACAGAGGTAATTACAGGCCTCTGTTGAAGGAACCAGTACACCCTCATCATACTATACTTAACACACAATAACCCATAAATTTTAACATGCATTTACCATAATTTCATATTAACTTATCTGTACTAATTTCACTTATTTTTAACCTACTTCATTTTTAGAATAATTATAAAATTCGTATTCAAAATTCTCAACAAAATTTCAAAAAACATAAAAACTTATCTAATATCCCTTCCCTATGAATAATTTAAATAGCTTAAAATTCGTTACTTAATTGCTCACACATATTATGAAAAATTAGAAAAATTAATGAACAAGAATTTCAGATTTTTTCAAACAAATTGCAGAAATTTTAACCAAAGTTGAAATGAAAACAATAAAATCCGCTGATCATTAAATAATTTAGTTCCTGAGCTAGATTCACACGAATGTAATAATTTTTGAACTGTTGAAAAAGCGGAAGTGCAAATAATTTTCTGTCGCACATACTCGCAAACACTAACTCAGATCGACCTTGAACTCGCTGTAATGCTGAATTCCTAAACGGTAATACACTGATGATTTAAAGCACTTTTTTTTTTTCTAAATATTGTAGACATCGGCGAAGCAAATTCAATATTCCTTTTTGCTAGGCATTCGAACTTCTCAATTTATCGAGATATTACTTTTAATCTGTAAACACTACGCGTGATTATTTTTTTGAAGCACTTGCAAAACACCACAGCAGAAGAATGATCTGTTATTTTTCAAACACTGAAAAAA